TTCTATTTTTTAATTTTTTGAGACAGAGCCTCAAGTTGTCGCCCTGGGTAGAGTGCTGTGACATCACAGCTCACAGCAACCTCTAAATCCTGGGCTCAAGCAATTCTCTTGTCTCCGCCTCCCAAGTAGCTGGGACCACAGGCACCCGCCATGATGCCCAGCTATTTTTTGGTTGCAGCCGTCATTGTTGTTTGGCAGGCCCAGGCTGGATTCGAACCCACCAGCTCTGGTGTATGTGGCTGGCACCTTAGCTGCTTGAGCCACAGGCACTGAGATATAAAATATAAAAATATTTTAGAATATTTTAATCACCCTGCCTCTTTTTAGAAATGAAGGGAATATGGCTGGACATGGTGGCTCACGCCTGTAATCCTAGCACTCTTGGAGGCCAAGGTAGGTGGATTGTCTGAGTTCAGGAGTTTGAGACCAGCCTGAGTGACAGCAGACCCTGTCTCCACAAAAATAGAAAAACTAGCTGGGCACTGTGGTGGATGCCTATAGTCCTAGGTACTTGGGAGGCTGAGGTAAGAGGATCTCTTGAGCCCAAAAGTTTGAGGTTGTTGTGAGCTATGATGCCACAGCATTCTATCCAGGGCACCAGAATGAGATTCTGTCTTAAAAAAGAAAAGAAATGAAGGAAATAATAAATATATTTAATATGTGTACTTGTGGAGGTAGGAATTATATCCATTCCAAATGTCTAGGTACCATTACACAACCCAAAACCACAAAGAGAAGTTTTAGTGATTTCAGTTCCTGCCACTTCCTTCTAACCCCTTCCCCTGCTACCTCCACCGTTCCCTAAAACCAGGTCAGATTCTCTCCCTGCCTTTCTGATGAGTACTCATTTACCTTTTGCTGGGGTGGGGAGGGGAGGTTCCCGTCTGCAGGGTACAAGAACTAGGCCTGCTATAAAACGTTGGTTTTATGTACACACCCCTATTATGAAACTAATTTAAACCTTTTTCTATGAAAGCTATAACCAAATAGCCTAAGAATATGGGGAGGGGGGAGGGAGAAGGGAGGGGGGAATGGGTGGAGGGAGGGGGTTGGAGGTAGTACTTCTGAGGTTTACCTTATAGGGGTACAGGTGAATCTTTCTAAGAGTAGAATGTGAACGTTTTAAAGCAATAACTGAGAAAATGACATGAAGGTTGTGTTGACCAGTTGATGGAAGTAGTTCAGATTGCATGTGAAAACCCCACACTGTACCCCAGAAGTGCATTAATGTACATAGTTACCATTCAATAAAAAAAAAAAAT